TTATTATTATTATTATTATTATTATTATTATTATTATTATTAAGACAACACACAAAATATATCTGATAATACCACTCTTAAGACTTCACCAAAATGCATACTTACGTTTATTATCCAATTTTTGAAGATTCGGTAGCATTTTTAAAACAGTCATTCGATATTTCTCCCCAGTTGCACAAGGGTTGTCAGCCAACCAAAGCACTCTCAGTTTAGTAAGGCATTTCAAATAATAGATCTGTGATAAGTCTTGAATATTGTTTTTCCTGACGTACAGTTCTGTTAAGTTAGCGCAGTGGCTGAAATCCTCTAAATTTGTTATATTGTTGACACTCAGACTAATGACTTCTATATTGGGTATCTCACGGAATATAGACACCTAAACATACACAAGCAGAAGTTAAAATAACATGTTTCATCCCAACAGATTTCGGACAGATTTTGAATGAACTCTGTGTGTTGTTGTTGTTTGTGAATTTGAAGCCCATTTTAGCATCAAACCTTTTCATTCCCAGCTTTCTCAAACAAATTATTCTGCACTTTTTTTCTATATTCTTTAATATATTTGGAAATGAACACTACGGTAATTTTGGAGCCAACAGACAAAATTTTAGTCAATTTTCATTTTTTTCTCAAAAAAAAAATTGACTATTTTTGTCTCAATCTTCTGAAAGAAAGTGCAGAGTATAAACAGAACTATTTGGTGAATTTGTGATGAAAAGAGGGAACTGATTGTAAAAAGGTTAAAGGGGAACTGCTCAAACCCATGGATTGCACCAAAGAATCATGGGATACTATTGTTTATGTTGTTTACAATGTTAATCTATCTTTTGTTATCCATTGTTATTTTAATACAGAAAGTAAATTTGTTGTGAGATTAGGCTTAACTGGAAGGTGCCCCTTTAAATATATAATTACCTTACAGTACAGTGCGGGCATAATTTAACTTGCAAGCTAGCTATCAGCTAGCTTTGAATTTTCATAAAAACTTATAATTTTCAAAGTATCATTGTTATCAATAATTTGAATTTATTATTTATAATATTTATCTATGTTACTAATATAAGATATTACTGTGCACAATTTAGATATGTGGCAGTTTTTAAAGCTAGTTAAATGTTATGCTTAGGTTATACTGTATATGTCTGTAAAATACTGTAAAATAATTTTCTAGATTTTCGCTGAAGGAATGATTCAGTAAAAATAAAATCCAGCAAATATGCCTTTTTCCTATATTTAATTCACATTCAACTCATCAAAAATCAGTGAAAATAAATTCCATACAATATACCCAAATAGACTTTTCAAAGAAAAATAATTCCAGCTAAAATAAATTATTTTATAGTAGTTGACCTATGACATAATATAAACATAAAAAGATCACAATTACATCACAGACTAACATACAACCCACCACACTCAGACATCTTTATATTTTTAGACCTTTTTATGACCTCATGAAAAACATACATGTATTTAAAACATTTTAAAGGCCTTGAAGTTGTATTGCGGACAAAATTTAGTTGAAAGACCTTTCAATTTTCAATTTATACTGATCGAAATCCATCGCAATGCCTGTTTATCAACTACGTTATTATTAGTATTAAAGTAGTCTTCACTAAAATCATGGAGGTATAAACAGATTCCCCATCCTACAGTATGTTAATTCAATAATTTGTTGTTTAATTTGTTGAACCGTGGATTAATTGCACAGTGACAGCAATACATTATGAACAGTAACATTCTACAAGTTTTTTAGGTGGCATATCATGCCTTTAGTAGTTTTGACAAAAATACCAGAAAATTTTTGCAGCAAGACATGAATTACGGTACATATCATATCAAAAACCAAGGAATATACATTTTACTTACATCAGTCAATTCGCTTCCCCTAAAATAAAAACAAAAAAATGTGTAAACTTGAGTGGGCTATGAAGAATCTTAAGAAACTTAAGTGGGCTGGAAATAATATTTAGAAACTTAAGTGTGCTGTAAATGTTGAGAAACTTGGATGGGCTTTAAATAAGTTAGCTATAAAGAATCTTGAGCAAGGTGGGTAGTAAAGATTCTTGAGAAACTTAGGTGGTTTGTAAATTATGTTTAGAAACTTGAGTGGGCTGTAAATGTTAAGAAACTTGAGTGGACTGTAAATGTTAAGAAACTTGGATGGGCTTTAAATAAGTGAGCTACAAAAGAATCTTGAGCGAGGTGGATAGTAAAGATTCTTGAGAAACTTAGGTGGTTTAAAAATTGATTAGGCAGAAGAGCAGTTTGAGTAATTTTAGATGATTGCAAGCATCAGAAATTTTGGAAACAAATTAGAAAGTCCTGAGAAACTAATAAACTTACCAACAGTTTAATTTCTTGACATTTTCCAAATCAGATGCCCTGGCTCTTGCTAATACTAATTTCTCTGTTAACTTAACCATTGTGCACACTATGATCTGAAAATAAAAGATAAAATTACAAAATCAATGATTTTAATGAGAAACTTTTTCAGTATTCAAAACACATCCTGTATAAAACCAAATAAAATAATCCTGTGTTTTCCAGGTAACGCTACTAGCCCATATTCCAAAAAAAAATCAAAAAGTTTATTTTATGCAAATGAGCTAAAAAATATTTAATTTTATGCTAAGTAGCTAGTGTAATATTTGTTTAGTGAATAAATAACTCTGAGCTGAATTAAGGAAATACTGTGAAATACTTTATTTTCGCTGGAATAAATTTTCGCTGAAAAGGCTTTTTGAGCGTTTTGTATGAAATTTATTTTCACTGATTTCTGATGACTTTAATGTGAAATATAGGAAAAAAAGTATATTCGCTGGATTTTATTTTCACGGAATCATCCCTTCAGCGAAAATAGCGAAAATAAATTTCAAGCGAAAATAAAGTATTCTACAGCACAGTCCCTGATAGAGGGACTGTGTCTACAGTAATACTAGAATCCAAAACTAATTTATCTATATGTCATATTTAAAATCTGTAGACACCAGATAAATGCTGATTTATTATAATGCCCTGTGTGAGCAGTGTTTTCTCCTCAGGAAACACCAAATTAGTTTTGTCTAAACAAGGAACTTTTAGTTTAAATTATGCCTTTAATATATTTTTTTTGAAATTACCAAGACCTGTCCTGTAGCCAGTGGAATACAGTCTCCCACCCTAGAAATAGCATTTTTTTTTTTATTTTCAACCTCTCATGTTATCGTTTCATTTTGACACGCATTATTTCCATGACAACGTAACCTAATCAAAGTTTCGCAGATGGAAAACCAAACCGTCGTCGACGGTCATTTGCTAGACAGAACTAAAGCACAATAGCAAAGGCGAATAACTCCCAACTCTATGTGTTTGCGGTTACTAAAAAATAATAACCATGAATTGGTCGATGTTTAAATTCTGATAGACCGACCAAAATTATTCTGGTATATTGACGACACTCTTATTTGACGATCAAAATCAGAACGCAGTGCGCACCAAACGTGGGTGCAAAAGGTAAATCAGCGTATTCCGGGATTAAGCGTGCATACTTACATGTACCCAGACAAATTACCTACAAACGACTCCAAGCGAAGAGCCTGTAAGCGATCTCACTGGTATGTTTTTTTATCTGACCCCGAAAAAACAGTAAATGACCCCAGGTACTGTACACCTTAAAATAACGTCTCGATTAAACAAATTATGAGGTATTGAAGGCTGCATACAAATTTAGCAATATTTAGATTGGATTATTTATAATGAATTAAATCTTTAATAGAACTTGAATTCAACAAAAATTTAAGTTAATTATAGTTTATTTACAAACTGATTATTAATCTACCAAAACCTAGCTAGACCCAGAATGCAGCATTAGGAAGACATAAAACGCAGTGTGTGATTAGTCGCAACAAAAAATATCCTCCAATCAGATACAGCCTACTGAAACCCTTTTCGTTGAGTATTTGGCGGCCATTTTAATTTTTTGTAAAGGAAGCTAAGCTTTGCTTTGCCGAGAACGGTATATTCGCTCGTATTTCTGTATTTTGAGCAACACTGCAAGAATGAACTGACTGAATATGGAGGAAGAAAGAATATTGAAGGCTCTCAAGGAGGGTCAGTCGGTGTGCGATGTGCTGGAAGACGTCAAGGTTCGTTTTACTTTGGATTTTGAACTTGTCAACAAAGAATTGGTTTATAATAGCGCAGTTCGATAACTCGGAGTTCCTAGATGTTTTGAAATATTTTTGTTTTGGTAAAAAAAAACATTTCTTATATTTGGAGATTTTGAAATATACTCTGTATTCACCTTCAATTCAAACATCACTGAAATAAAGTGCATGATGCTGTGACAGGAACAGTGTTGGCTGATAATATTAATATGATTAATGAGAAGGGGCCGTAACGTCTAGAAATCTCAATTATTATTATTATTTGGAATAGGAATACCATATTCCCCCGCTTTTATTCAACACAATTTCGTAGTCTATGTGTACAGTATACATTGCAATCGGATTAGCCAAACTGTAGCCCTGAATATTTAACATAAATAATATTAATAATACATGTACTAATTCATAAAATTAATATTAATAAATGATAAGTCTTTCACTAATTCCAAAAAAGTTCTGTGGGTGTGTTTCAGTGAACAGTTCACTAACGAATGTAGATATCAATTTTTCTGGTAACCTTATGGTTTCATGTAGGACTACATGAGGTACATTGTAAGAGTTTCATGGGGCCCCTCACCCATAACTGGTTCTGTTTTGATGATCAGCTTATTACATCTGCTCATGCCATGAATCACATGTTGGCTTACTTTTGAGACTGGTATCTATTACATTTAAAGTAAAATACCCACACAACAAAATTACATTCTATCATGGAGGAACGTATTTCTGCCAAGATACATGTACTAAGCGAAATGCCATCTTTCATTAAAAGGTGTACCGTAGGTTCAAATATTAAAATGGGGGAGTAGTCACCTGCGCATGTGTCAGGTGGCCATAGCGTGTCATTGTTTATAAACAAGCGTCTACCCATGAGCCATTGCGTTTTTAGCGTGTGTTCTTTTGCCGCTTGGGACTCAATTCCCGCGTGTGTGCAGGTGACAACCCTCTCGCTTTAGGCAAGAGTTCCTTTTGTACACCCTAACCCTAACTCTAACACTCACTCCCAGTTACCCAATTCATTTGTATATGTCCCCTCCAGATAACTATAGATGTCCTTAGGAGGGGGCATGTACAATTAAATGAGGAGTGCTGGAGGGTAGGGTTAGGGATGGGGGTACAAAAGGAACTCTTTCCCCAATCACAAACAAAAAATTTTGGATTAACACCTCTGTTTTTCCTCCACACTAACCAACATCTACTGACTTCCTGTTCTAGTTCCTCTTTGAGAATTATCATTCAGATTGTGATAAAACATGCAGCCTTGTAAATGAGCATTTATCTTTTTTGCCAGATGTACCTGGGACCAGTGATACAGAAGAAAGTGGCGAAGAAGGAATCTGAAAAATATGGTGTCTTCAGTTTAAAAGTACTCCGGCACTGTGTTCAACTATTAGCTGCCAGCACTGATGATCTTGATGACGTGATTGAAATGTGCAGGCTGGCTCATCAGTGTACGTCTGTTCTTTCATTCGGTAGTACCAATCCTATGTTGCTGGATAAGTTGTTATTTCATGTTGTATTACACACATATAAATATCAACGCTACGATGATTGTTTAGAATTTTCCTCGCATCTATATAAACAGCTTTGCTGCAGCCGAGATGAAAATCCCGACTGTGGTGGTGAAATTGATAATATTGCTAAGCAGTCTTTTAATTGTGCGTGGAAAGCAGCCATTGATATTGAAAAGTCACAAGCCGGTGATGCTTTGACGGGCGTGTCTGTGATGGTTCTCGAATTCAGGACTTCGGCTGTGCGGTTTGCTCTACTGAGCACTTCTGAAGTCAGCTGGGTCGTGGAGCAAGCGTCAAAAGCCGTGGCCCAATTTATGAAATCAATGCAGAGTTCACATACTGTGCTCCATAAATGTTACAAGACTGTTTTTGATAATATGCTTGAGAAATTTGAGCACCAACTACAAAGAGGAACCCTTGGGGAAATAGACATTGTAGCCTTGATGAGATGGACAATGAAATGCACAGATTGTATGTACTCGGTAGGGTCAACAAAAACTGCATTAACGTGGCTCGGGAACCACATGAAACAAATTTACAAACTTTGTACTGCACAACCACTGAAGACGTCATTGCAAATTTGTAGTGATATTTTACATGCAAGTTTAAATCTTGCTTTGGACAAGTTGCCGGATGCAGAAACTATATCGCTACTGCAGTCTATTTACACAGCGATGAAGAAATACAAAAGTATCACCCCTGAAATGTTTCAAGTAGTTTTACAATCTACAGACCTGCTTCGTAAAGTTATCTCAGAAGGCCTGAACTGCAGCGACCATCTCTCAAAAAAGTCAACCGAGTTCTATCAAGAAATCATCAAGTTATTCACCTTGTGCGTGGATGTCCATCAACGAAATAAACAGATTACGGAATCGAGGTCTGCTCAACAGCAGGACACTAATAAACAAATGCTATGTCTTGATTTAGTTTATCAATTACTGCTTCAACAGCTGCCCACCAAACTGGATTTGTATTCGTATTGTTTGCCAACTTGTCATAAAACGCTGGATATTATATCGACTGTTGCCAGTGGAGAAGGCGGTATGTTGGCAGCCAACGAAAGAGCACAATTTGGTAAGTCGTACTTCAGGTTCAGCGTTCCCTCTACATGCAAGTCTGAGTCTTATTTTCAGGAAATGTTCTCAGCTGCCAGAGTGTGTCAGTCAGCTGCCTAGGTTTGTCAGTCAGGTGCCCAGGTTTATCAGTCAATCACCCAGAATTCTCAGTCAGCTGCCCAGAATTCTCACTCATGGTGTCCAGGCTTCTCAGCCAGTTACCAGCGAAAAGGTTTAACTTTAATTTCATAATTTTTGCAATAAATTGTACTCCAAGGCAATACATGTATTAGAATATTGAGCTAAAAAAGTTTTGGGGTCACCAGCCTTTTTTTGGAGAAATTGATGGTTGTATTTTGGTGGAAAGTCACAATTTTGACAGTATTATAACACTTTTACCACAGGTTCCTATGGCAGAGATATTATGCAATATCTCAAAATCTAGCCTGGTTACATAGGCTGAAAAAATCATATATTGTTAATGATGGAGTATTTTTTGTTCTGAATTATTTAAAAAATCTGGGTTTTTAAAAGTGTCAAAAAATGCAATTTTTCTTTAACATTGTGTTCTACGGAATTGTTCTAAAAATAGCAATTTTCAAGAAATAGTAGGACACGTTTCTCATTTACCATGGAACGTTAGCTTCATGATTGTACATAATAAACTAATGAACATTGTCATGCGATTTATGACCAATTTTGTCAAAAATTATGTCTAGGCTTCTACCTTAATTATTATTTATTAGGGGAGAATATAGCTTATTTTTGAGTTTGCATGATTCCAGAAAGCATCAAACTTAAAAGTTGTTTACTCTCTATTTTCCCTATAGGTGTGCATTGTTACAATCTTGCTGTTGTACTATATAAAGATAGAAGATATGTTGACTGTTTACCATTATTACTGTTGTCATGCCAACAAATATACGAGTACTGTAGTACAAATGATGATAGGTTGGATGAGAACAGAGCAGATAAAGTAAGTCACATAATGTAGTGTTGAAGTGAAATTATTTTTTCGCTTCGCTATTTTTGCTGAAGGAATGATCCAAAAATCCAGTGAATATACCTTTTTTCCTATATTTTACATTCAAATTTTTAAAAATCAGTGAAAATGAATTTCATACAAAACATCCAAAAAGTCTTTTCAGGGAAAATTAATTCCAGCTAAAATCAAGCTGAATAATCTTTTACAGTATCACCGTAAAATCTGTATTAAAAGCTGCATCTCTAATAAAAGTCGCACCCAATGTTTTTGAATAATTTAGAATAAAAAATTCATCATTTCTCATAAGTGTAGATGCTCTAATAGCAGCCGCACCCCTTCTGTTGCATTGTACCATTTTAATAGAAGCCGCTGTGTTTCATACAGATTTTACAGTAATTAATATAGAATAGTGTATTAGTAGGTATGCAATGGTTCAGATGTATAAACTTGATGACTGCTGGCTATACCTAACTGTTGCTGGTGAAATTACTGCTCAGCCGTATGCCAAAACGACTAACTTTTCAGTCATTTTCTGCTTTTAAAATTTTGAAAATCCAATTTTACTCAATAGTATTATTGGTTGAAGTTGAAGGACCATAAGAATTTGAAATATACAAAGTACAAATTGTAATTAGCCATTTTGTGTGTTGAGCTGTTTTTTGAGGAATCTAGTCCCTCGTCTAAATGACAAAAAACAAGAAAAATTCTAGGAATGAAAAAAATAAAAAAGTTTTGCTGCAATTAATTTTTCTTGTTTTGTAACAAATTTGTTGATGTTTTTGATGAATAAAATGTAAAATATAGGAAAAAAGGTATATTCGCTGAATTTTACAGTACAATAAGCGTATGAAGAGCAATATTCAGGGCAGCCTTTTTGCCAGCCACATTGTAGACAGGCACTCCACATTTGATTTGAAAAATTTTGACTGAATCCAATTTTGTTTACCAGTAAATTACAGAATAAACATAAATAATCAGAGAAAATTGATTGTAAGTTTTTGGTTACAGATTAGGAACTGCTACATGTATATCTTTCATTTTTTTAAGTTTTTAGACGTGCGTTTTCTTATTTACTGTCTATAATGTTGATTCAGAGATACAGGTTAACAAAACAAAGAATTTTCACCCAACAGATGAAGTTGAGAAAGAAATATGAACTATTGATTGACTGCCAAAGAAAGACTGAATCTTCTGAAGATGCCATCAAAACGGCTGTGTCAGCAATATCCTTATTTGGACATTCTGTGAAGAACTTTGTCGTAATGTTCGTGAAGGCGAAACATGATTTGGATCTCAGGTGAGAGGAAAGATGTAAAGTTGTATTGGGCCATTCCAGTTTATATCTGCACCCCCCTGTTGATGAGCTTGTGTGTTTACTTCATACAGGGTATAATTTCCATGGGTGTATAAGTCATTCAAAGTTTTATTTCCAAATCACCATTCACCATACAGTAATGGAAATCCAAAACTATAGTTCCTACTTATGGTGTTGATGAGTTCCATTGTGCCACCATACAGAGTAGGATTTCCAAATATAACTCATCATATGCTAATTTACCAAGTTCAAAATTTCCAGGAATTTTTTTTCCATACTCGTCTGGATTTCCAGATTCTGTTTCTCCATATACATTTGGAATTCCGGGGTATTTTCCCCATGATACAGTGCTGGAAATCCGACCACATCAACAGGGGGGAGTGCAGATATAAACAGGAATGGCCCATTGTTGGAGAAATGTTTGTCTGAGGACTTTGACTTGTCAAATTATGGATCGCTTGCAATGTGTACATTGTGTGAAAATACATTGCAGGGTTCTCCCCAGGGCATTATAGAGTAGGGGTTCCCAACTGTTAAAATTTATATTAAAGGGCGGCAGTTGTGTCGCGTCCTGTTAGATATGGGACTCATAGTGACGTATATAACACATGTAAAATACATTGTTTATCTACATGAAATTCAAACACTCGACGACCACCGCGCTTTAACAATAGAACCAATTTTAGCATAACAAAAAAAAAAAAAGATTACATTACGTTTCATTAACATATACTATTGTTAAGCAAATACTGTATGCAATTTTTCCTAGGAGAACACTATTGTTTACCTGAAATTTAAATGGGTACAGCATGACGACCACCATCTTTTATAAATTTTATTCAAATCTTACTATCTCCTCCCATCTGTAATAAATATATTTAATTATTTTCAGCACACCTACTCTAAAGGATTACCTTGACAGTGATTGTCATGATGTCTATCAGTTGGAATATGAAGTATATAAAGAACAGAGGTAACAATTATGTAGCAGTGTGTAACTCCAAGTGTTCTTCCCAGAAATTTAAATCATTTACATACTAATATGCATACAATTTGCATAATTATTTTAAACAAATTGTGATGATCAACACAATTGCACAATACACAATTATTCACCTACATTACATTACACTACATTACATTACATTACATTACATTGCATTGCATTGCAGTACATTGCAGTACATTACATTACAGTACATTACATTACATTGCAGTACATTACATTGCATTGCATTGCAGTACATTGCATTACATTGCATTGCATTGCAGTACATTACATTACATTGCAGTACATTACATTGCATTGCAGTACATTACAGTACATTACATTGCATTGCAGTACATTACAGTACATTGCATTACAGTACATTACATTGCATTGCAGTGCATTACATTGTATTGCAGTACATTGCAGTACATTGCATTGCAGTA